ACTGGGATTAAAGGCAGGCACCACTGCTGACCAGCCTCTCCTCTCCTCTTAAATGTTGGTCTCACTGTGTTGCTGAGGATAGCTTGAAACTCCTTGGCTCAATCAGGCCTCTTGTCCTGGCCTTCAGAGTAGCTGGGATGGGGTCCTGTGTGACACCAGCTGAGATGGGGTCCTTTGTGACACATGGGGTCTTCCTGTGTGACACCAGCTGGGATGGGGTCCTCCTGTGTGACACAGGCTGAGATGGAGTCCCCTGTGTGACACAGGCTGGGATGGGGTCCCCTGTGTGACACCAGCTGAGATGGGGTCTTCCTGTGTGACACCAGCTGAGATGGGGTCCTCCTGTGTGACACAGGCTGGGATGGGGTCTTCCTGAGTGACACCAGCTGGGATGGGGTCTTCCTGTGTGATACCAGCTGAGATGGGGTCCTCCGGTGTGACACAGGCTGAGATGGGGTCCTTCTGTGTGACACATGGGGTCTTCCTGAGTGACACCAGCTGAGATGGGGTCCTCCTGTGTGACACAAGCTGGGATGGGGTTCCCCTGTGCATCACTACACCCTATTTCACCTTCCATGTTTCTAACAACCATCAGGTCAGGCAGTGCTAGGCTTTTTCTCTCCTGTGCCTGAAAATTCTCCAGTTTCTGTTTATTGTTAATTTTAATTCATTTCCACATTTTTGTTTGTTTTGTTGAGGAAGAGTCTCACTATACAGCCCTTACTGACCTAGGACGAGCTATGTAGATCATGCTGGACTCAAACTCAGAGATCTGCCTGCCTCTGCTTCCTAAGGATTAAAGGTGTGTATCCTTCCTTTCCACATTTTCAGATACTTGTGACGGCAGCACCCCATACCTCATAATAATATCTGCATTCAATTTTGTGGTGCTTTGAGATCACAGCAGGCCAGAAGTCCAACATCCAAGCACTGGTGTGTCTTTCTCTGCAGGCACTTGGGAAGGGCCTTCCCTCCCTCAGGCTGCCCTGTTCCTAGGCTCATACTGCACCCTTCTAGGCTCTGCCTGTGCCTTTCCTCTTCTCTCGTAAGCACACTTGTCCTTAAACCTAGGACCACCTCAATAATCCAGGATGACCTTTTTTTTGGATCTTAATCAGGTCTGTCTCCAAGTAAGTTCACATTCATGAATTTCACCGATATAGATGTATGTTTTGGGAGGCTACCACTTAATTCCCACTTCAAATTGTCCTCTAGTGTTTGATTGATATAAAATTAAGTATACTTTCTTTGTGTTTATTTTTAAAAACTCACCTGCCCATGTTTGTTACTGTGCTTTACTTGTGACTTTATGATCTAGTGTTATGAAGTATTTTGGACCTTTGAAACTTTTTTTTTTTTTTTTGGAATTCGGGATTTTAAAAAATTCTTTTTTGTCTTATGAGTGAGTATTTTGCCCCGTGTATGTCTCTGCACCACTTGCGTGCCTGGTGCCCTTGGAGGCCAGAAGAGGGTGTCAGCTCCTCTTGAACTGGAGTTATAGAGGGTTGGGAGTCACCGTGTGGATTGGAACTTCTGAGAATAGAGCATGAGTTCTCTGGAAGACCAGGGAATGTGATTAACCACTGAGCCATCTCTGCAACCCAGCCAACTAGGGCTATATAAAGAAGCTTTCCAGTGAACTCCTTTTTTAATTTTTTTTATTTTTATTTTTATTTTTTTTGTCTTTCTCTGGATGCGCTTGGGAAGGGCCTTCCCTCCCTCAGGCTGCCCTGTTCCTAGGCTCATACTGCACCCTTCTAGGTTCTGCCTGTACCTTTCCTCTTCTCTTGTAAGCACACTTGTGACTTTATGATCTATTGTTATGAAGTACCTTAGACCTTTGAAACTTTTTTGGCGGGGGGAACTAGGGACTTAATTTTTTTTTTTTTTTTTAATCTTATGAGTGAATATTTTGCCCCGTGTATGTCTCTGCACTACTTGTGTGCCTGGTGCCCTTGGAGGCCAGAAGATGGTGTCAGCTCCTCTTGAACTGGAGTTATAGAGGGTTGGGAGTCACCGTGTGGATTGGAACTTCTGAGAATAGAGCATGAGTTCTCTGGAAGACCAGGGAATGTGATTAACCACTGAGCCATCTCTGCAACCCAGCCAACTAGGGCTATATAAAGAAGCTTTCCAGTATTTGTTTTTTTGTTTGTTTGTTTGTTTGTTTGTTTTTGAGACAGGGTTTGTCTGTGTTGCCCTGGTTCTCCTGGAACTCTGTAGACTAAGGTAACCTTGAATTCAGTGATCTATGTGCCTTTAATTCCTAGCTTTTCTCTTCCTCCTCTTCTTCTAAATGGATCCTTTTTTTTTTCCAGATTGTTTTGTGTGTATGAGTGTTTTGCTTGCATGTATGTATGTGTACCACATATGTACCTGGTGTCTATGGAGGTCAGAAAAGGGAGTCAGAGCCCTTGGAATTGGAGATGCCAAGTTCTGGGAACTGAACTTATGTCTTATGCAAGGGCAACAAGTGCTCTTAAGTGCTCAGCCATCTCTCCAGCACTGACCTTCGAAACTTTTTGTTTGTTTGTTTTTTGACAGGGTTTCTCTACACAGCCCTGACGGTCCTGGAACTCACTATGTAGATCATGCTAGCTTTGAACTCACAGAGACCTACCTGCCTCTGCCTCTGCCTCTGCCTCTGCCTCTGCCTCTGCCTCTGCCTCTGCCTCTGCCTCTGCCTC